ATAATTTTACAATCTATTAATCTTTGTTAAATGGGTGTTGATCATTTCTAAATTACATTTTTAATCACTGCATCTTCTATTGAGGATATCACTGTATTTATAGATTTTATTTCATTTTCTCAGTACTGGTTCTGTACATAGACTGGTAATTCCCTAATTGGAATATCTCAATCAACTGCATGATCACGACAACCGTATTGTAGGAATAACTGGGTAGGTATTATTTAATGTAAGGTGAACAGTGATAAGGAAAAGTACACACCTCTGCAATACTGACCAGGGAAAACAATTGATGGGATTTATTTTCATATCAGATAGATGGCACTCCCAGATTTGTTACTAGGAGAACAGGAGGCTGACGTATTTCCTACTCCAAGCAACACAAAGCTCCCCTTTTGTTTCTGAACTGCTGTGGTTTTCATATTTAAAGAATTGCCATGGCAGTACCAGTTGATTGGTTATTTCTGCAGTGATATGTAATACTGAGTTCCAGCTTACAGTCATTTTCCTACTCTGTCATGGCCTGCTTCAGGAAACTTATCCTTCACATTTCCCATTAAGAAGGGGAGCACTGTGCTGTTTTGACAGTGTCAACTGTGATTCCGTAACAATCTTACCTCTGAGGCTGAAAGCTGATGTTTCAAGTGCCACTCCAGAAATTTGAGTGCAAAATCCCTGGCTGGCACTCCGGGGCATTGCAGAGGGATTGTGGCACCATCTGAGGTACCGTGCTTGGGTGGGGTATTAAACTGAGGCCCTGATTTCCTTTGCAGTAGGATGTAAAAGTTCCCAAGGAGTTGAAGTGTAAGGGAGTTATTTCTAATGTCCTGGCCAACATTTATCCCACAGTCAACTTCACTAAAAAACTTATCTAGTCATAAACACATTATGGCTTTTAGGAGATTGCTGCTTGCAAATTGATTGCCAATTTTTTTTTACAATACAACAGCAACTGCATTTCAAATATGCATTATTGACAGCAAAGCACATTGGGATGACCTGAGGTTCTAAAAGGCATGTTATAAAGGTTTCCATTATTGGCATTTTTTGAGGACTCATACCTGAAGGAATGTAAAAATTGGATTATTTGAGGTGCTGAGGAGGTACCCAGACATGTTATTTTAAAGGTCACTGAAAGGACACTGCCAGAAATTATTGTTAAAAAAAATTAATACAAGTCACATGACTTAACTGCTTGAACTTATCTACTGAAACTCTGATTTCTTCAGCCACCTGCTTGAACTTACTACAACACACAGGTCAAAGTTTCTAACTGTCAGCAGCATGACCATTTGATTTAATTTAATTGTGGTGTATTCTGTCAAAAGATAAGAAACTCAGGCTCAGCTTTTGCCACCTTCCTGACAAAAACATCTTGAGAACCCCATACAGTCACAGAAATCTATAGCACAAAAAAAGCCCTTCAGCTCACTGAGTCTGCGCTAGTCAGAGCTATCCACCTAACTATGCTTATCCCTAAACCATGCGGCAGCCGAGAAAGCTGAAACAGCTATTCTGCCTGAAAGACTTCTAGTAGACTTGTTCTCAACAACCTGACGAATTGTGCCTGAAGAAATCCCAAGCAGACAGCCATCTGTGCCTAATGACAAATCTGCATGTACAAGGATGACAGGCAGTAAAAATCTGGATCACTCCATATCTTGTCTCTTTATTCTCTGAGAATTAAGTATTTGGCCATAGTGTTTCGTCCAAAGTTAATCGCTGTAGAGAAAGTTTCTTTATTTTTTCCTTGAACTTACCTGTCGGTGTGTCTATTCTGATTAGGAGGGTAATTCATACTTTCGTATTTCAAACTGTGTTAGTTATCACTGAACCTTTGTCAAATAAATCTTGTTATTATAAAAAAGTAATTGTTTTGTTGCTTATTAAAGAAACCTGGATCTTTTTAGTCTGATCTTATTATAGATAAAGGATATAATTAGCCACACTGGTACTTGGATGAATCATTTAAATACATGTTGTGACCAAAGGAATAGTGAGAACAGCAAGATAGAGTGAACTCCTCTAACCTCAGTCATAAAAGGTGCTATACAAATACAAATCTTTCTTTCATTTTTATAGGTGAGTGTTTTTCATTAAGAACATCCACATTTTTTTTAAAATCAGAAGCTCTGTGTAATACTTCAGGACAGCAGATACAACATAAAGGACTGTGCAACGTCCAATCTAAACGCTCTCCATTGAGTTCGATGATGAAAACTAAACATAAATTTTCAGCTTTAACTTTATTGGCAAACAGCTTTGCATATCAGCACATATTAAAACTCAAATATATATCTTCTATTATTTTCCATCCACGTTGAATGGAAAATCATAGGCCCCCGTTTGAAATCTTGATAGCTGATCCCAGTGCATATTGCTGTGCAACAGAAGTGTTAAAGATGAAAAGATATCCTTAAACCGTTTCACATGATCTAAAAAGAAAAATTAAGCCTTCTCTTAAATCAACATTGTGTCAGTTATTGTGGAAGCACTAATGGGAAAGTAGCCTAATCCTGGATGCACATATACAGCCTTACAAAATGAACTGGAAAACCAGTTGAAGCAGTTAGATGAGATTACTTGCATACTAGATAAAATTCTCAGCCACATCATATGCTGCTGCCTAACAAAAAATGAGCAGAAATCATTTTCATGAAAAGGAATGCAACTTGGCATGGAGAGTTGATCATGCAGCAATGGCTCATCTTTACAATGAGACTACAGTACAAATAACATTTTCATGAGGGAGGTCTTAAGTCTAGGGTGCAACCTATGTAACGAGATGGACTATTTGGACACGAATAAGATATTTTAGCTGGTACATGAAGGAAATTACACTGCACCAGATTCTGCATTCAGTGTAAAAAAAGCAAATGATTATTCTAAAAAAAACAGAAAGTACTGGCAGTTGTCAGTCCTACTCAAAGTTAATGGTGATAGTTTTAAGGAAAGATTCTCTGTTCAGACTCCAACAATCTGGAATGTATTTCTACTGTTTTAGTCACCCAGAATTTGCACCTTTATGTCTGATGATTGAAATTATTGCTGTGTCAAAATGTTTCAGGTAACCACACTCAGATCATTAAGGTGTAACCACTTTTCTTGTAACATTATGCTTCACAAAAACATGACTTGTGACCTTGAAAATTTATATATTTTAACTATTGTGCTTCTCCATTAAAGGTGGCTGAATAATGTTGCTATTGCAGTGCATGCATTTAATTGCAAAACATCCACACTTTTCGTGAGCTTTCCTTGTAAGTCTACTATGCTTCTGTTTGTCATAAGTACATTTTTGCATTCCTTGCTTGGGTTCACAAAGAGGATACCACTCTTTGACTTGAATCGCAAACCGACATCACACTAAAGCTGCCAGAATCGCACAGCATTTATTTGGTCTACAAGATGTAGCAGTTAAAATTTGTATGAAGTTAAGAACGTTAATTTAACTCTAACAGGACTGTATTATAAAGGACTGTCGCAAATCAAACCTTACACTAACAGAACAATGCTAAATATTGTGGTAATAAATTTAGCTATGTCAACTTACCTCATCTACATTTTCAAAAGCATTGATGATGTCATATGGCAAACAGGACAGCAGGTCAATTACAAACCAGGTTTTCAAGTAGTTCATTCTGATTAGTTTTGGATCGGATATAACTTCACCTCCAGGGCCCACAAATGTAGTGTGGAAATTTAAGACAATATCCACCAAGAAGATCACATCAACTACACTGTCCAGCACCAGCCAAGCAATATTGTTCTGTTTTGTTCTGAAGGACACATTATAAGGAACCATAATTGCAGTGTAGAAGGTTAAAATAAGGATGATCCAGTCCCAGGTCGTTTTAAATGCACAGTAATGCAGAATGATGTGTGGTGGAGTCTTGGGAGCCTCCTGTTTGTACTGAGGAAGAATGTCAGATCCTAGCTGCAGAACCTGAAAAAAAAACTGATAGCTTTAGCATATTACACAGACTTTTAAAATCTTCAAAAAGCATTACACATTTAGATTTAAACATTCCTCAAATTCTGCCATTCAGATGTTATCCTGCACATTGCACTGCATCAGACAGCAAACTTTCCAGATAGAATATAAGGTAGGAAGCCAAAATCGCCCATGACCATTCTTCTCATTTAGGTAGGTTTTGGCCAAGGTCTCCCCTGCAAAGATCCTGAAATCCCAAAGGGGAGGAGATCAGATCACAACGGGCCTGTCTCTTTCTTCCTAGACCTTTGTACCAGAGAGGCCAATTCTGAAAGATGAGCCATAGATATTAAGGGGCCTCTTACTTCCAGGAGTTAGCCAAAGGGAGAAATAATACCAGATATTTGACTGGTTTCTTGATAAAGTCTCAAATTGTGAGAACTGCCAATCCAGGTGCAGCATTGAGTTTCTTTTGTCTGATAATTTCTCTGTCCAGATCAAATATTCTGAAGGAAATAGTACAACTAAACTACAAACAGGGAATTTAGTACTTACTTCTGCGAGACGTGAATGTTTGTGGACCCCATCAGACTTGTTCATCGGAGTTAATTGTTGCAGAACACTTCGACTATTTGTCAGCGCTCTTGTCAATCGAGCAAATTTTGCCCACCCTTTATTTAGAAAAAGAGACACAGTCACTACCAATTCCAGCAACCCACACTTTCCTTTCAGCACTATAATTTTAATTGTCACAAATAACAGAGTCTTTAATTCATATTGCCTATAAAATAATAAAGCTGTCTCATTTTAAAATAGCTGTTACTGAGCAGCGAACAGTGAGATTGCTATGAAACTTGCTTAAAGTAAGCAAATATAATTATAAGCATCCAGTTGATACCTACACTGCAGCATCTGAGTTACTGATCTAAGCCATTTTGCCTGCAACTGTAAAAACTGATACTGCAGTTGCAAAACATGATAGTGGTACCACTCAAATTACATAAAAATTATATTTTGCTGTCTTTACCGCATGATTCAATGACATTCTTGCCAATTTGACTCTGCACGTGAAAGTAAAAATGCCCATACAGTTAATTCAGGCTCCAAATATTGCCTCCATTAGGATGATCAATTGAAAAAACAAATGGAAAATAGGTACTCGAATCATTCAAACCCTTGAAATGTTATGTTTGTATTCCCCAGTCCCTACAATTCGTCACTGGCCCTGCTGGTAATACTGTACTAACTCCTCAGGACTTTATATGTTTTAATCAAGTCACCTCTTAATCTTCAAAACTCCAGTGCGTACAAGATGACCCTGTCCAACATTTCCTCAGAAAACAACCGACCCATTCCAGTAAACATTCCCTGAAGTACACTTACATCCTTTCTTAATTAAATAAGATAACTGATACTGCACACAGTATCCAGATGTGGTCTCACTGATCTACTGTTTGATTTAAATATAACCTTCCCACTTTTGTATTCAACTCACCTTGCAATAAATGATAACATTATATTAGATTGCTTAACTACTATCTTTTCTCATGCTCTCTCTCTCTCTGCCTTTCATTTCTTTTTTTTCACTTTACTTCTGAACTTTCTACCTGCAGAGTGCTTTTAAATTGTATTATCAATCTTCAGCTCTGTCTTATTCTTTGGTCTTTCAGAAGGTGACACTATGAAAATATTAATGGGAAACAAGGGCATGACAGATACAGAAAAATAGTAGAAAATCAAAAATCAAGAGGGAGAGAGGAACTTAAAACAAATATGACTGATTGTGAAAAATTCTAGGTAAATTATTGGAATTAAAGGCTGACAAGTTGCATGGACCTGATGTCTTGCGTCCCAGGATCTTTGAGTGGCTGCAGGAGTGATAGATAGATATGTCATAAAATTAGCAAAACCTATGAGCAAGGGAAAAATTCTTAATTGACATTCCAAAAAGCCTGCCCAGGAAGGATGAAAGTGAAAGAAGCACTTACCTTTCAAAACAAATGGACTATAATCTGGCGAGGCTGATCTTGATGGTGAGAGCATCTCGCTCCATCTTTTACACTTTTGATTAACAGTGAGGTGAGTTTCTCACTGGGCAACAGCAAGTTGCCAATTAAGAGAGATTATTGCTTGGTAAATGCCTTGTTGATGGCCCAATACACCTTATTAAACTGAGCTTTCAATCTTACCAAACACGCCAAACATGCTCGAGAGAAAACACAACATAGAACTCGAAGCGAATATCTGGCAGATTCAGCTCACAACTTGCTTTGAACGACCTCCATGTTGCATTCAGACAAACTGCAGCCCAGGGCATGACACGGGGGCATCAGCATCCACCCATCATCCATGGAAAACGGCAACCGCCATCTGCCAACCCCTCAGAACCACCACAGCACCTCTCTGATATCCTGACAGGGTGCTCTGGTAGCACAGACTTGCATTGCAAGGTGCATTGGAAAGCTGCAGCAGGGACATCTTGCTTGCACAGTCAGGGATCCAGCTCACAATTGCACCTAGATCAGGGTGGCTCAGTTTCTTTCTTAGCACTCGCTCACTTAGAACCCAGCTGCTTGCTGGCACCATCCTTGCCTTGCCTTGCAGTGCCAGTTAGCTCAGTCACACAACCAGGCAGTTGCCCTCCTGGTTAGCAGCCCTCAGTCCAGGTGACATACATCTTGCTGAGGTGTATCTGACATCTCCTCCCGCAGTTTAACATGGCAACCACACTGAATGTACAGCAAGCAAGCAGCCATGTCTTGAAGTCTTCATGGATTATTCCTCACCGAAGCCCATGGTGATATACCAGTCAGTCACGGGGTTCTGGCACAGTAAGTCAAGGGCAGCCTCCATACCAATTGAGGAGAATAGCCAAGGTCAGATGACCAATTGGGGTAATTTTGGTCAGGGGCTCTCTGCCTCTAATATTCCAAGGCTTGGCTGCACAGCCATTGAGGTTCCAGCTCGCTGACTGGCCAATGCATTGACTTCCAATTTCAGAAGTCATTGACCTGCGTGGACCTCAGAGATCCACACACTGAAAAATATAATTAGAAGGAGTATTGATCCCAGTAAGTTCTATGGCTCCATGGCAGCAGCTAGTCCAAAGGGTAGGACTAATGTGATCGGGTCAGGAAATGCACAGCCTCAGTTAGGGGTCTGGGTACATCGTTTCATGCTGCACAGTTAGGTTCCCCAAGGGGTTAGGCCATGCTCAGTCTGTGGGTTCCATCCATTAACACTAAGAGAAATAGGCAAGGCCAGTCATTGTCACAGGAAGAAGACTCAGCAAATTAGTCTTTGGGTCTTGGGGCTGCAGGCTGGTGTAAAGGGTGGATGATATTTGTGAAGCGGGGGCAACTATATATGCTAAGATGGGGCGAGCATAGTAAAGTATGGCTGGGAAGGCGTCATACAGGAAAGGGGTTCTTCCATGAGAACCCTGGCTTCAAGGGTTGGGGGCAGTGAATGGCCACAGCTGGCATGCACAGCTCATATACCAGGGGCTGCAAGGGGAAGGTAAGCAGGTGTAGGAATAGGTAAACAGGTTGAACGGGAATTTGGGGAGGAGTGAAGTTTACATAGCTTTTGGAATGGCTACCAGAATGGTACTTGGACATTCAGGAACTCACCAATATATTCAGCCGGAGAGAGACAGAGCGAGAGAGGAACCAGCAGGGTCACTGTGTCAAATAAGGGGCTTCCCATTCAGACAGTGATAAGGAGAATGTCTTCTCACAAGCATGAGTCTTTGGAACAGTTTCCCTCAAAGCATAGTCCTTGAATATTTTGAAGCCAGGGGTAGTTGGATTATTGATAAGTAAGATGGTGAAAGGTTATCTGTGGTAAACGGGAATGTGGAGTAACCAAATCAGCCAGGACCTTATCAAAAGGCAGCGGAAGTTCAAAGGGCCGAGTGGCCAACTCCTGCTCCTAGTCCAAATGAACGCCGAGAGTAAAGATTTGCCAGAACAAAACGGAGGTGTGACTCAATGGTGCTGGTATAAGGTCCCCAAAGACTGGACATTGTCAAAAAGAAATGAGGAGAAATTTCTTCACACAGAGAGTGGTGAGCCTGTGTAATTCTTTGCCACAGAAAGCAGTTGAGGCCAAAGCACTGAATGTTTTCAAGAAGGAGTTAGTTGTAGTTCTTAGGGCTAAAGGGACCAAACTTTACAGGGTAAAAGTAGAAAGAGGGTACTTGGTTGGATGATCAGCCACAATTGTATTGAATGGTGGAACAGGCTCAGAGGGTGGAATGGCCTACCCATGCCCCTTTTTTTCTGTTTTCTAAATAGAATAAATTGCATCGTCTGAAAATCCAGGACACTGTAAGGGTGCAGGCACTTATTCCAATAGGGCAGCCATCCTCTATGTTGGTCCGTTGCAAGATTAAATGTTGTCTAGATGATGTAATGGGGCAACTACTGGAGTTAGCATGGAAGAGCGCATCTGCACAGGAAATTCAGGAGATTAAAGGTCCTCCAAATAATGTAATGAACTAGTTACCAGGCTTTGCAGGAAAAAATATTCTCCATGAAAGACATTTTCAAGTGATCAACAATCCTCCAGAAATGATTTGCAAAGAATCAGAATCTAGATCTCAACAATCCTCAAGCCAAAGACCAACCAATCTTCAAATTCTGAAAAGAATACATTCTGGAATAACTGTGAAATTTCATTATTGGTTGAATTTGTGAAGTCAGAGAATTGTGAGAAGGTATTGTGGCAGTAGTAAATGCAGAAGTAAAACTAGTATGTCTGAATGTGCAAGTGGTAACTAATGGGAAAAAGCTTGGGATGAGATGTTGTAAGAGACAATGGCTCTGAAATGGATAATACTGAAGCTGCATTAAGCTCCCCCCAATTTAATTGTCTTTGCATAGAGAAGAGGGACTCTAGTACAATTTTGTAGTAGAAACAGATATATCAAATCTGGCTCCTGATAAGCTTTATATTTTTGCAGAATTAGTCAATGTAGCTTCTGTCTATTGCTATTAAGCAATAAATACATCCTGTTGGTATGACAGGTCCTTTCCTCATTAAACTGAAAACTGGTTTACCTTCTACCACTGCAAATTATATAGGCCCTTAGGCTTGACATAGAATGGAGGCTTTGTGGCAGCAATCTTACCCCAACCACAAGCCACAATTCATTGGTACTTCCAACTTATGACAGTATTACGTAGGAAAATGTGACATTGCTCAATCTGGTAAAAATAATAGAAAAGCAGAATATTATTTAAATGGACAGAGACATCACAGTACTGCAGGATGGAGGGATTTGGGTGTCTTTATACATTAATCTAAAAAGGATTAGCATGTAGATCTCTCAGAATATTTTGTGCACCTGGTTTCTTCTTTCTAGTGCGGCATCTAGGTCCTCACTCCTCAAATTAGTGTAAATCTCATTCCATAGCACTAGCAAACCATCTGTGAGGATAGAGGTCCTAATCATATTGAGATCAACCTATGAGGACTATACAATATATATCCCCAACAGCCAATCCTAATATTTCCTCCTGCTTGCACCATCAGCCTGCATTTAACCACACTTTCCTCCCGATTCCAAAATCATAATGTATATAGCAAATGCCTTTGAACTTCTATTTCCTTTCCTACCTCACTAGGGGCTCCATGCAGGACCTCATTTGTCTTGAAATTGATCCTT